GCAGCCTGTATTTTTCTTGTGGTTACCTGTGGGTTTCTCTTTGTATCCCGAACAATTCTTCTGGCAGTTGTGGCTGCAATCTTTCTTGATCTACCTGTACTTGGCTTGGTATCAAGAGATACATGAACTTTCCACTTCTTAATAGGTGATTTAACAGTAAAGATTAGCATATTCAAGGCTTTGGACATCTTTTTATGTCCTTTTCCATCTTTATAAAGTTCCATTACCTTTCTACGGAGGACTTTTGACAGTTCTTTTCTGATCCCCATGGATCAGTATCTAGCCTAGTCAGTGCTTCCATGTAAGAGCTAGTAAACTCATTGACTATTTATACACTGACACTAATTGCAATTTAAAAACCACAGATGTTGTGGACTGCCCAACAGCACCTGTATCATTCCTTCGCTGACCCTAGTTTGAACAGCAGTAAAAGTGACCACTGTAAGGTGCATCCTACTCCCAAAAACAAACCAATCTGAGGGGCATTTTTTCCTAATGACACTGATATATGGGGCATTCCATATCCCATTGACATCAAGGTGAGGGGCATTCCTACTTCCACTGATATCTATGTAAGGGGCATTCCTCCTCCCACTGACCCCTATGTAATGGGCATTCTTACTCCGACTGACACCTACACTATATTGTCAAAAGTATTGGGACACCGCTCCAAATCACTGCATTCAGGTGTTCCAATCACCTCCATGGCCACAGGTGTATAAAATCAAGCACCTAGGCATGCAGACTGCTTCTTTAAACATTTGTGAAATAATGGGTCTCTCTCAAGAGCTCAGTGGTAACATGATAGTTTGCCACCTGTGCAATTAGTCCATCTTTAAAATTTCCTTGCTACTAAATATCCCACGGTCAACTGTTAGTGGTATTATAACAAAGTGGAAGCAACTGGGAACATAGCAACTCAACCACAAAGTGGTGGGCCACGTAAAATGAAAGAGCGGGGTCGGCGCATGCTGAAGTGCAGAGTGCGCAGAAGTTGCCAACTGTCTGCAGAGTCAATATCTAAAGACCTTCAAACTTCATATGGCCGTCAGATTAGCACAACAACAGTGTGTAGAGAGATTCATGGAATGGGTTTCCATGGCCGAACAGCTGCATCCAAGCCTTACATCACCAAGTGCAATGCAAACCACTGGATATAGTGGTGTAAAGCACACTGGACTCTAGAGCAGTGGAGACGTGTTCTCTGGAGTGACAAATCATGCAAAGTTTCTGGTGGAGAGGGGATTATGGTGTGGGGAGAGGGGATTGTTTTTTTTTCAGGGGTTGGGCTTGGTGTCAGTATACCAAGAAATTTTGGACAATTTCATGCTCACAACTTTGTAGGAACAGTTTGGGGATGGCCCCTTCATGTTCCAACATGAATGCTCACCAGTGCACAAAGCAAGATCCATAAAGAAATGGATGAGCAAGTTTGGGGTGGAGGAACTTGACTGGCCTGACCTCAACCTGACAGAACACCTTTGGGATGAATTAGAGCAGAGACTGCGAGCCAGGCCTTCTCGTCCAAAATCAGTACCTGACCTCACAAATGCACTACTGGAGGATGGTCAAACATTCCCATAGACACACTCCTAAACCTTGTGGACAGCCTTCCCAGAAGAGTTGAAGCTGTTATATGCCATACAGGGTGGGCTAACTCAATATTTAACCCTATGGACTAAGAATGGGATGCCATTAAAGTTCATGTGCGTGTAAAGGCAGGCGTCCCAGTACTTATAGCAATATAGTGTATATAAGGAGCATTCCTACTCCCATTGACATCTTTGTAAGGAGCATTCTTACTATCACTGACCCCTATTTAATGGGCATTCTTACTCCCACTGACACCAACGTAAACAGCATTCCTTCTTCCACTGACACCTATGTAAAGGACATTCCTACTCCCACTGATATCTATGTAAGGGACATTCTTACTCCCACAGACCCCTACGTAATAAGCATTCTTACTCCCACTGCCACCTATGGGTATGTTTTGAGCATTCCTACTTCCAATGCCACCTATGTAAGAGGCATTCCAACTTCTGCTAACACCTATGTAATGGGCATTCCTACTTCCACTGACACCTATGTAAAGGGCATTCCTGCTCCCACTGATACCTATTTAATGGGCATTCCTACTTCCACTGACACCTATGTAAAGGGAACTCCTGCTCCCACTGATACCTATGTAATGAGCATTCCTACTCCTGCTGCCACCTATGTAAGGAGCATTCCTATTATCATTGACACTTATGCAAAGGGTATTGCTGCCCCTGCTGAAACCTGTGCAAAGGGCATTCCTATGCTCACTCACACCTATGTAATGGGCATTCCTACTTCCATTGACACCTATGTAAGAGGCATTCCAACTCCCGCTGACACCTATGTAATGGGCATTCCAAATCCCACTGACACCTATGTAATGGACATTCCTGCTTCCACTGACACCTATGTAAGAGGCATTCCTACACAAACGTACACATCAGGGGGTGGGGGGGGGGTATTTACTAAAGCTGAAGAGTGAAAAATCTGGTGCAGCTCTGCATAGAAACCAATCACCTTCCATGTTTTATTGTCAAAACTTAATTGAAAAAGCTGTAACTAGAAGTTGATTGGCTATCATGCACAGCTGCTCCAGATTCTGAGTGCTCTAGTTTTAATATCTCCCCTATTCTGTTATTGTGCCTGAAATTCGCTATATGCATTGTTGAGTGTGCCATTTTGCTCTCCACATATTTGTAGTGCATTTATTATCAAGCTTGGCTGTTTTTAGCCCATGTATTGCAAGCATTACTCATTTGCCAAGGTGTATTATCAGGCTTGCCCATTTCTAGCCCAACTTTGTGAGACCTGCCCATTTTATCACCTTAGCATTGTTAAGTCAGTGCTGCTTGCTTAAGGGACCATGTTACTGTAATTTAATCTTCTGTAGTTCTCTCACCCCTAAAAGCTCAGATATATAGGCCATGCCCCCTATTCACTGCACGTGCTATGCTTCTGCCAATTAATTTTGATATAGTCTTTGTGCCATCAACCTCCCCCACCTCAGATCTCAAGTCATGTAGTTAAAGCATTCCCAGGTATGCAGCAAACCATATATAATGGAAGAGCTTAATATTTTAAAGTGATCCTTTGCTTACATTTATGTGAATCTGTGAGACTGACACTTGCATTAAGATGTATTGTAGGGTACAAGGACTGTGCAGTACTGTATGTGTGAAGTGTTTACAGTGTACAAAAATGTGGACAAATGTGTGAAAAAAAAGTGCTGGCCCCCCTAAAATTTCATAAAAGTTCCATATTCTGGTATGCAGCCTGGGTGGCCAGGAAATGGGGATAGCAAGTGTGTGCCTTCCCCTCTCCATGAACCATACCAAGCCTTCCCCCTATAATGTGCATTACCCTCAATGATCAGGCTAGAAAGGGCCTCATCCCCACATCCTGTACCCCAAAAGGGATGTGGGGTTTGGGAGGGAAGCTTATCAGAATCTGGAGGCCCCCTTTGGAATAAGGTAGCTCTATCCTGCCTTTGCAGGTAAATGACTATGGTACATAGTACTCCTTATTACTACTCATTCACATAAAACATGTAAAAAGAAAATAAAAACACCCACAAAAAAGATTCAGTGGTGGTCTGGCCCCTTTCTCTCTCCTTATTCTTTTGGGAAAGCCTGTGCATTGATTACACCACATGCAACATGATCTGTGAATAGGGAAGAGTCTGAACAATGGCAGAAGCTTCACATATTCACCAATTTGGCCCTTCAACAATTACACATTGTCCATCACTATTATTAGCTATCTGAGTGGATAACTGTAAGCTCCAAAATTTGGCAGGAAAATCATGCAAAGATGAAATATTAGCAGAAATGTTCTAAAGCAGCCCATAGATTACTTGATTTTCTTTCCTTTCACCACAGGTGAAAAGAAAGAAAATTACTGGATTCCCCTATCAGTGTCAGTGTTAATGGGGAAATGCCTCCCGCAGAGCTATTGTGTTCTGCCATTAGGGGGGAGCTGGAGCTTTCCTGTCAACAGAACATGATCATTATAGCCGCTGGCAGTAATCAAATGTAAACATCAGACAAGCTGATTGTACCCAAGTCGACTAGGGTACAATCAGCCTGCCCATACATGGTTCGAATCTTGGCCAGCTTAAATTATATATATTTTTTTAAGTGGTCTTTGTATGGGCACTTTTAATTTTGATTTCCAGCTCATGTAGCTAAAAACAAAACTCAACGTAATACTTTTGTCTACTCACCATGACTTAAATTCTGTCATTTCTCATGCTACATTTTGAAGCACATGAACACACTGACCAATTAACAGGGTTCCATGCTGATTCCTAATGACAGTTGCACCTAAAATCTTTTTTCTTATTCCTGCAAACAACTTGTTTTTCCCATCTACAAGATGGAAGCATCTCAAGACTTCTCCTGCTGTGCTCCAGCTGAAACAACCCACTTAGGTACACCAATATTACACAGTCCAAACATTCTTAAAAATTACAATATTAATTGTAACTCATCATTGCTATTACCATTAATTGACTAAATGAACATCAAGCATATAGGTATATATCTCAGTAAATGAGAAACTTAGCCTGCCGTACAGTATGTTTGATCAGCTATAATGAGTTCATTAAAAGCACTTCTTATCCAGCAGGATCTCTCCTTTATGACAAGAGCAGTTTTCTGGTTTTTGCGCTCTCGTGTTACACATGCATGGTGTGCGTCCTTGCCTTTATTCATTTTATCCCTACCTCAATCTGTAGTTTGGGGATGCTCTGCATAGTTAGTCCCACCCTCCTTCTTGCTGTAGCTTCCATTCACCACCTATACTGTATACTCTGGAGCTGGACATATGATTTTTGACCTATCTGATGATCATCTGTTATGATCTGGATAAGTTTGAATTAAAGCTTTCTATGATCTGCAAGGTGTCAATTAGATTGAGTCGCAGACAGTGTGCATTCAGAGCCGCTCACCCGCACCAGCAGGGGCGGACTGAGCATTTGGAAACTCAGGCACTGCCCGAGGGCCCGGTGTCAGTAGGGGGCCCCATGAGATGTCCCTGGTACCTTTTTCATAGGCTTTTTTGAGTTTGGGCAAGGACGCAGGGGCCCCATGATCCCCTATTGCCCGGGAGCCCCATGAGTTGTCAGTCCGCCCCTGCGCACCAGCATGCCTATCACAATAGGACGAACTGCTTTGTCCATGCAGCCAAGCATCCTAATAAACTTCCACAGACATCCTGCATGCAGCACCTGGAAATTATAGACGATGAAAAAAACATCCTGTTCATGCTATATGGGTACTGTTGTCCATGTGAACTGGGCCTTATAAAAAGTCAATATTATAATGTGCAATTGGAAGTAGCATATTGTCTATATTCATCACTACCTTTTACAGCACAAACCAACAAACAAGAGAAAAGAGATTATTTTATATTTCTAAAATGAGCTAAAATGAGTCTTCGGACCCCTCTCATCATTCCACACGAGACTTTTCTGCATTTAAACACAAATGTCCAGATGTGGACAGATGAGAGATATTTATTCTAAAAGATGTTATCACCGTTTATATATTTCTATGCTTGGTGCTGTCCCTCCCTCTTTACCATGCTGCCCAAATATACATTATGGTAGATACAACACAACATTTTCTTTTTCTTATTTGTGGTACAAACATTTTTTTCAGAAAAGAGAAAAACATAGCCATGTACTGAAACATTTATTGAGTAAATTATAATGTTGTATTCAGCCTTGAAAGCTGAATAAAAACATAATATTTTACTCACTACATTTTATTGCAAAATATACTGTTTTTATGCCAGTTCTTATAATGAAATCATTATAATTTACTCAGTGAATAATGATTTGCCTTATTATAAGGGAGTACAAAACTGTCAAATACAACTTAACAAAAAAAAAAAAATGTTAACATTACAAAAGTGTTGGGTCTTCCAACCTAGAATATGGTCCAAATGAATGAATGCATTTATCATGGCATACAATAAAACATTTATTATAGAGATCTTTTGCTATTGTTATCTGGAGCTTTGGTCCGTTACCTGCTAAGCTCTTCTTCACCTGACCACCATCTTCTATGTCTACAATCACTATAAGCAAAGATTCCTCTTTATATGCTATACAGCACAGATGGATGACTCTCCCACTGTGGCTATTGAGTGTTGACTGTTGTCCCTGCTCGCTGCCAAAATACCCAAATGCCAGCTGCTGTTCAGCCAAAAATTTTCAATCAAGCTTCTTGGAGCAGGTGTGGCCATCCACTAAGCGAACCAGCCAAAACCAGCCAAAATTTGTACAGTGAATGGCCAGCTTTATTTTCATTCCCCCTCTCAAACAGTACAATCAGCACAGTTCATCCACGTACAATTCCATCTAGAGTACACAGATCACAACAGATCGCTCACTCTGCAACTCATCTATCTCAAAAACATCATGCATTCATTTTAATGTGTGAATCTGTGACTGGAGGAGGGGAGATCATGACATTCATTTGTACCTCCAATCATGGAACACATTGCATTAATTGAAAAGGGTGTAAGACATTTTTGGGATAGACAAGCTGCAGAGAGATCTGTGTACTGAAATCAAAGCTGTAAATTTCAGCAGCTGACATTCAGTATTGGCTGTATTGTACTGGGAGAATGAATGTAAAATGATAACATGCAGCAGGAGCCACACACTGCACACACTTGATTAGTTTTCATTTACTTTTAAAGTGCAAATGGCCAAAAATTCAACTCAAAAACATTGTCTTACTTTTCCATAAATCTTATGTAATAAATTGTATAAAAAAAATGTAAAATACATATGAAAACCACTAAACTTCCTCTTGTACCAGGGTGGGCTGTTGAAGCTTTTTGGCTGTATGTCATACAACAAGGGTGCTCTAAACTGCTCTTAGGGCCAGTTCACACCACAAAAACATCCAGATCCATTCCAGTTACGTTTCTGCATGCGCTTTTTAATGCTTTTTTGATGTATTCCAGTGCGTTTTTTATGCTTTTCTTTATGCGTTTCTGGTTAAGTTCCAGATTCTTTTTTTTTCTCCTTTTTTGGGTCATTTCAATTGCAAAATCTTTATTTTTATCAAGACAATGCTTTTCCCTTGCTTCCCTTACCTGTTTTTTTTTTTTACTGTACTGGGGTCCGGTGCTTTTTTGATGCATTTTTGTTGATTTATACTGCATTCCAGTATAGTTCTGTGCAGAAAAAAAACAGCATGCTGTACTTTTTTTTCTGGAACTGAATAGCACTGAAACGCACTGCGCTGGTGTGAAATATGCCATTGGAACCCATATAACCTACTTTTTGTGCTTTTGTGATGCAGAAAAAAAAGCACTGCACTGCACTGCATGTGGTGTGAACGGGCCCTTAAAAATTGTAAAGTCCCACTATAGATTGTGGGATATGAATACAGTGTGAAAGCTGGGGCATACCTTTCAGGTCAGCTTGAGTAGTTCACTTACATATACATATATATTCCAGGTACAATCATCTGTGCTGTATCCACTGCATGAATATGAATTAAATCCTTCCACATAGGGATGCATTCCCAAATGATAGCTCACACACAAGGCCCCTTATGGAGACCTAAATTTTAATTGCAACAGACCCATTTATATGCTCCATTTCAAAATCAGGTTTTTTTTTTGGCTGATGGACTTTAAAGGTTGTTGCTTGTGATTCTTTGAAACCAAATAAAAATTATATGATAGACACTATGGAGAGAGGGACCACTTTAACAGTTGGATATTTTGGCGTGTCTGCACTGTACAAATGGTTTCACAGAGCTGGGCACTGGCGTCTGAGATCCATCATCCAAGATTTCAGCTATGGGTGAATTTAGTATTATAGTGTCATCTATTTAAATAGACTGTGCTCTGCTTCTTCATAAAAGTGCACTTATCCATGATGATTCAGATCAAGCTGCAATTATATCAATAAGACTTGTTTTCTGAATGGCTGCTATGTTTTATTGAACTTTACTCATTTATACTGTATTTGCCTTATTGATTAAGCCTGTATGATTTGTACCAGACCTCAGAACACTATCCTAAGTTTCCTGGAAAAGACTCGGCTATTGGTAATGGAATTGAGATGCAATACCTTATTTTTAAAGGTTATCTTGAGGTGCAACTATAATCATAGTGGACAATGCAAGCACTGAATGCTCTCTATCACTACAGGAACTGTCTTTAAGATGTTGGTTAAAAAGTGTCCCACAATAATTTTGCTATGGAGCCCCATCGAGCATAGTTATGGTCCTGGGCTACCCCTACCATAAAATTATTGTTTGACGGCTTGACATGCTTTCTGAAACAAATATCAGATAAATACCAAATACCAGGGTCTACCAGGCCAAAGGATTATTCATGTTTCACAGTAAAAAGCAATTTTTGTAATTTTTGGATAGAGAAGAGAATAGTTAAAATATATCTCAAGGCATTTTGTTTTAAATAGAGTTGGAAAAGGTCAGAACCTCTGTTACGTTTTTTCTTATTGCTTTCTGTGTCCCAGCTGGGGAGATTTATTCTCTATTTTTCTTGGAGATTTCTGTCTCCAGGACTGAAAGCAAGGGAAAATCCAAAATGTTGAGATGTCATCAAAACAAGAATGGAGGGGAAATAATTCAATGGGGATGCTTGTTCAGTTGACAGCCTCCTAAGATTTCATTCCTTTAGAGAGATTTTCTTTAACATTTGGTTGAGTTTTTTGAGATTGGAAGTAAAGCAAAATCTCCTCAGACTAAAAAAAGAGAAAAAAATTGCATCCAGAGTTGTATGCCTGTGCACAAAATATGTGTTCATGCAATTACTTTTGTATGCACACATATAGATGCTTACAAGACAGCCATTGACTTTTATAGATAGCAGCACCTGTAGGCTCCCTGGCAGGGACATGTTCTGAAAATTACCCTATAAAGTCAGATACAGCTGTGTGCATGAGCAATAAGATATACTTTAAACCCCTGTCAGTAAGCCTTAGGACAAATAGAAGGAAAAACAACCTCTAGTGGGCACAAAGACAGTAATAGAAACTTGTAGGCAGGGGTTAATTAGGGGTTCTCCTTTAGCACTGACCTTTGAATGAGTGCTTTTGGGGCTGGATCAATCTTTTTCCTCTATATAGTGAGGAGAGGAGCCAATCTGGGCCATTGAAACCAGTGTTCTTAGGAAGAAGGATGATCCTCTGAGCAGGAGAACTCCACTTGGAGGAGCCTGGAGGAGGAATGGGGCTGTTGGAGGCTTGAGTAGAGCAGAATAACCAAGAAAGTGTAAGTAAGCACTGCAGCACCCCTTCTGTTATTAGGGGGACAATCAATTAAATAAACAAGGAAATGTAGAGTGGCACCTTGCATTTTATTGCCAATAATGTGGGATGTTGTATATGTTATTTATACTGAAAGAATGCGAAGAACTGGACTGCTATGTTGTCTAAACTTGTTCATGTAAAGTTGTAAGCAACAAGATTACTTGTCTCAGTCAGAGAAACAGTATTAAGTGAATGATTTTCCGTAAACACTTATTTCAGAGAAAACTGTGTAAATTGAGCTAAAGATACTATTGGTCTCTTTAAATGGATTAGTTGCATTATAGTTCATAGTTTACCCTAAAATTTTATATCTGAAAATCTACATTCAAAGGCTTTATAGTTCTTTTTTTTAAAACCTTTCAGTGAATAACCCACTGCAGATATTTTATTTGTATTTACTGCACTCTGGGCAGTTCGAATTACTCTGACCTGAGCAGATGTCCGACTGCTTTTCACACATGCCCTTCCTCACATTACACAAATATATTTTGGATTATTACCACTACAAGACATTATGCAGGACAAAAAATAAATTGTAACATTGTAGCTTAAACTGTTCTGCTTGGATAATGGGTAGAAGATAATGAGAGCACTGACAGACAAAAGGTCGCTAGCACTGGGGGTAGTCTTCGTTATGACTGTGTTTGTAGCCAGTGCTTTCTGCTTCAATCTCCTTGCTCAACAATAAAGTTTGTCCTCATAAAAGTATTTGCAGCTAGGCTCAATGTAGAACTTCAGAAGACTTTAAACCATGTTCTGTCCATCGAGCTATTAATTGTAGAGCATACGGCAGCTTCTAATGTCTCTGCATCTTTACAATGTAATTGCTTCATTAATTGCCTTCATTCTAAGAGCTGCTGTCTAGGAGAACCACTAAATGCTGCAACTTTAATTCTGATTTTGGAAAAGACAACATTCAGATTTACAACATGGCATCTCTTCTTCCTTGTAGTGCATTGTGCACTGCTCAAAAAAATTAAAGGAACACTTTTTAATCAGAGTATAGCATCAAGTCAGATAAACTCCTGGGATATTGATCTGGTCAGTTAAGTAGCAGAGGGGGTTGTTAATCAGTTTCAGCTGATCTGGTGTTAATGAAATTAACAACAGGTGCACTAGATGGGCAACAATGAGACGACCCCCAAAACAGGAATGGTTTTACAGGTGGAGGCCACTGACATTTTTTCCCTACTCATATTTTTAACTAGTTTTGCATTTGGCTAAGGTCAGTGTCACTACTGGTAGCATGAGGCGATACTTGGACCCTATAGAGGTTGCATAGGCAATCCAACTCCTCCAGGATGGCACATCAATATGTACCATTGCCAGAAGGTTTGCTGTGTCTCCCATCACAGTCTCAAGAGCATGGAGGAGATTCCAGGAGGCAGGAAGTTACTCTAGGAGAGCTGGACAGGGCCATAGAAGGTCCTTAATCCATCAGCAGGACCGGTATCTGCTACTTTGTGCAAGGAGGAACAGGATGAGCACTGCCAGAGCCTTACAAAATTACCTCCAGCAGGCCACTGGTGTGAATGTCTTTGACCAAACAATCAGAAACAGACTTCATGAGGGTGGCCTGAGGGCCTGACATCCTCTAGTGGGCCCTGTGCTCACTGCCAGGAACCATACAGTTCAATTGGCATTTGCCATTGAACACCATAATTGGCAGGTCCACCACTGGGGCCTTGTGCTTTTCACAGATGAGAGCAGGTTCACCCTGAGCACATGTGTCAAACGTGAAAGGGTCTGGAGAAGCGGCGGAGAATGTTATGCTGCCTGTAACATCATTCAGCATGACTGTTTTGGTGGTGGATCAGTGATGGTCTGGGGAGGCATATACAGGAAGGGACGCACAGACCTCTACAGGATAGACAATGACACCCTGACTGCCATTAAGTATCGGGATGAAATCCTTGGACCCATTGTCAGAGAGGCGGCTTGTTTGGTTTCCAGGTACCTGGTCAGAGTAGGCGGCTGTAGGAGCGGGCTGGAGAGCTGACTTGGAAGGCACAGATTCCTTGTGATTGTGGAGATATTCATTGGATGCTTTTCATACTTGGTGCGGTCTGGCACCTGTCACGTGTGAGTGCATATGTGGAAGTATTTGTGATAAATAAAGCTTTTTAAAGGGCAAACACTATGTTGTTCATGAAGATTACTGACAATGTAGGGTGTTCTTTGGAGTGAGCCATTGTGATCTATTACTCATCACATTTATCTTCAGAGTCTACTTTGGGACCAAAAGTGCGGTTAGACCAAGCATAATATATGTTAGGTCACACTGCTGGAGGTGAGCAGGCATCTGGTGGAGGAATTGTGCACTCTTTCTGCGTTTGGAGCATCAGGTGTTCATAGGAGGAAGGATATTTAATTTATAAGCAATTTTATTGAGACTTTAATATTATTATCACTTACAGTATTCACTTTTTTATTTATGTTTTGATGTGTAGCAGTGCACAGTATTATTATTTATTTATTTATTCATTGTCAGACCCTACACTGGTGCAGTGGGTCCTGGGTTCCTCCTGGTGCACGACAACGCCCGGCCTCATGTGGCAAGAGAATGCAGGCAGTTCCTGAAGGATGAAGAAATTGATACCATTGAATGGCCCCATGCTCGCCTAACCTAAAACCAATAGAACACCTCTGGGATATAATGTTTAGATCCATCCGATGCCGCCAGGTTGCACCTCAGACTGTCCAGGAGCTCAGTGATGCCCTGGTCCTGATCTGGGAGGAAATACCCCAGGAGATCATCTGTCTCATTCGGAGCATGCCGTGACGTTGTCCATGGGGGGGGGGGGCCATACAAACTACTGAGTACTGTTTTGAGTTGCTGCAATGAAATTTCAGCAAAATGGACTAGCCTGCTGCACCATTTTTTCACTTTGATTTTCGGAGTGTCTTTGAATTCAGTCCTCTGTAGGTTGATAATTTTCATTTCCATAAAATGATGGGGCACCCTTACGTTCCTAACACATTACCGAGTCCATATCAGTATAGATATCCAGCATGACATTTTTCCCCATTGAGATCTGATGTGTTTTCAAAGTGTTCCTTTAATTTTTTTTAGCAGTGTATACTGGAAGCATCTGAGATACCCATTAAAGTGGAACTGCTCTGCATCTGAGCACCACAAAGCAAAAATCCTATTTAATTCATTGTTAATATTCAAAGCAAACTCACCCATCCATCTATGTCTCCATGCTTTATTTTGCTGAGAATTACTTTTGAAAAACACCCCCTGTTATTTCTGGCAGTGGCCATTTGAGTAAGGGCAGATGATCCATGTACCATTTACTTCCTGGAATCCATCTCTGGCCATAACTCAGGCATTGGCTGAGCCGAGAACCCTCCTTCCCTCCTGAAAGCTCCTGGGATGTGTGACATCATTTGCCTAGGCATGGAAACCAGGAAGTAACTGAAGAAATGTAAAAAAAAAAAAGTTCAAAACAGGCAAATATGATATACAGTACTTTCCTATCTACTAACTAATGCTAGCAGCATAAGGTTTAAAAGTACTCAGTGTTGATTGAGAGAGTGAAGTTCCACTTTAATATGACAGGACAGATACTGGTAACCTTGGAAATCAACAGGCACCCTTGTCTAATGTATTTTGAGGGAAACTGTGCATAGGATAGGTTCAGTTTTTAAGCTGATAGATTTGTTTTTTTGAAAAAAAGAACCAAACATCTTCCTCCAATTTTACATAAGATAAGAAGGGAGGGAGGTGTTTGTGGTCCAAATTAGAAGTGTAGCCTAATGTCCCAACATTGCTCCTTTATAAATACTAGAGAGTAAGAGAGCTGCACTCCAGGGCAGGGAGGGTGTTACCAGCAGGATCACCAGGAGAAAAGAAAGAAAAAATATAAAAAAGGATAACTGACACCACATCTAAAGATTGGTATGCTCCCATATATTCTGTTGTTCTTGGGTTTAGATACACTATAAGCCTTTTTAATTTTAAATTAGTGTCCTTGCTTTCCATATCTTCTTTTTTAATATTAAACTTATCTTTTGAATAGTTCTGAATCTCAGAAATCCAAGCAGTGGGTTCCATGGTCTCTAAATCTAACCCAGTCTAGCATCTATTCTTAGAGGGGCTGTGGGTACACAGAATGGGCAAGATGATGTTTACATGCCTGCTCTGCACATGTTACAGAAATAAGGTATACCTGTGCTCAAATCCCAATAGCTGGTACATGGAATCCATTAGGTGCTAAAGGGGTGTGACCATATGTTAACACTAGAATTTTTGGATGAACCCTCTACGTACTGCTATATACCCTTTCTAGCAAATTGTGCAATAAAAAACAGGGATTTTTAGTTCACACATACTGCAATACATGTTTAAGCTCAACAGGTATTGCAATATATGTGAACTAAAATCCCTGGTGGAAAATTGTCAGCGAATAGCATCTGAATCCAATCACTGGTAGGGATAGCTGTCAAACTACAATAGCCACCCCTGCTATATAGCATAGATGGAGGAACCAGGTTGTTTTTTCACTTAGCCTGTGGACTAAACTATTAGGGCCTGGCCGGTTTTAGTTAGGTGATGGGTTGGGTCAGGGGTGGACTGACAACTCATGGGGCCCCCGGGCAATAGGGGATCATGGGGCCCCTGTGTCCTTGCCCAAACTAAAAAAAGCCTATGAAAAAGGTACCAGGGGCATCTCATGGGGCCCCCTACTGACCCCGGGCTCTCAGGCAGTGCCCGAGTTTCCAAATGGTCAGTCCGCCCCTAGGTTGGGTAGTGCTGGGGGAGCACATCATATGTGATCCACCAGCAAACCATGTAACCACCACATTTGTGGTTACAGTTTTCTTCTGAGACTCACACTCTAACCAGTTCTCGCCTGGCCTATAGAAGAAGCTCTGTGTTGTCCATATGAAAATCCTTGAATAAGAGACTGTTTATCTAACTTCAGCTCCATTTATATATATATATTTTAATTGATATTTACACTGTGGATTTATATGATGAATATGACACTGTAAGTATTATTTGTGTGAAGGACTGCATTTATGAGGGAGCACTTTTATAAGCTTTTACAGCATTTAAGGATTGTTCTATGCACTGTAATACTTTAAAATTTTGCACTATTCCTGTTTGGGCACGATAGGTATGATATCATGGGAACCATTTATTATTTGATGTAGTGTTTCATTACCACACTGCATGGGATTAAGTTGAGTACGTTATCAGATACACAGCAGCGCAGAATCACATAATTAACATTTTTTGCCTTTATTGTTGGAACACAATATTACATAGTTACATAGTTAATCTGGCTGAAAAAAGACGAAGGTCCATCCAGTTCAACCATAAAAAAAAGTTATAATCCTACACCCACAGTTGATCCAGACGAAGGCAAATAACCAAGCAAAGCATGATCCTATTTGCTCCTGCAGGGTAAAAAAATATCTTCCTGATCCCTCGATAGGCAATTGGATATTCCATGGATCAATTTTATCTATAACTAGTAACCAGTTATATTCTGTGTATTCAAGAAACAACCCAAGCCTTTTTTAAAGCAATCCACTGAGCAGGCCAGAACCAGCTCTTGAGGGAGTCTATTCCACATTTTCACAGCTCTTACTGTGAAGAAACCTTTCCATATTTGGAAATTAAATTTCTTTTCCTCCAGATGTAAAGCGTGCCTCCTCGTCCTCTGTGATGACCTCAGGGTGAATAACTCTACACCGAGTTCACAATATGAACCACTGATGTATTTATACATGTTGATCATATCCCCCCTTAATCTCCTTTTCTCAAGAGAGAATAAATTCAGTTCCTCTGATCTTTCCTCATAGGGGAGCACCTCCATGCCTCTTATCAGTTTGGTTGCCCTTTTTTGTACTTTCTCCAGTTCCCCAACATTCTTTGTGTGAATTGGTTCCCAAAATTGAACTGCAATTTTCATGCAAGCAGCAGCTGCTTTCACGTTTATTCACACATTACAATGGTTTTCAGTACAAATATTGCAGGTAGCTCAGGAGCAACACTTTATATTACCCCAACTCATGCTATGTCCGTCCATTTGAATGGAGACGTCTAGCAGTGGAGGAGTTTAAAGCAGAGTTCCAGCTGAAAAAAAAAAAAAAATAATAGTTGGCAGCTACAAAAACTGTAGCTGATGACTTTTAAAAATACAGATACACACCTGTCCCTCGGTCCAGTGGTGTCCTCTCCACGGCTGGTTTCACCGTCTGTCTTCTGTCGCCAGGCGCCGGCATTTCCAGTGTGGGCACCAGAATGTGACAGCTTGTGGCTTCACAGCTGGGTGCCCACTGCGCATGTGCGAGAAGTGATGCGCTTTGTGAATGGCCCAATAGTCTTCTGGGTCCTATTACATATCCCAGAAGACTATGGGGAGAGAGGGGGGAGAACAACTTCCGCTTCCGATCGCATAGGCAATCGCTGCAGAAGTGGGAGCGGGTACCTGTAAAATTCAGGTACTCACTCCCCCCCTCCCCAAAGGTGCCAATCCTTAATGCGGAGCAGGAGACAAAGGCTTAAAGTGGAATTCCTCTTTTGAGTTAAGTTGTTTTTGGGCCTTAGAATCAACATGGGGCTTGCAAAAAAAAAAATGAATGACATGCATACTGGTTCCCCCAACCCATCCATCACATACCAATTTATTCTGCTGTAATGTCCAGGTCACGCTATGACATGATAATGCGCTTCCTGCATTTCAGCAATACTTCACAGTACTCTTCCCATGATCATCCTGGCTATGACAAATTCTCCCCTTAATTAATTCTTTTTCTAGGAGATTTGCAGAAACTTTTGTCCCTGAGCAAAACATCTGTGTAGACGAATCTCTTGTCAACTTTACTGGTCAGCTGGAAGTCAAGCAATACATTCCCAGTAAAAGGGCCAGGTATGGATTGAAGCTCAACAAGCTCTGCGAAAAAGTCAGAGGATATGTGCATGTCTTCCGCATGTACAAAGGCAAAGACTCCCAGCTCGAGCCCCCTGAGCGCTCAACCTACATTGGTACAAGTGGAAAAAATTTTCTGGGACATGGCATTCCCATTGTTCAAAAAACATTATCATATCTACCTTGGTAACTACTATACAAGTCTACCCCTTTTCCGCCGCCTGTGCCATGAGAAAACCTTGGTCTGCGGTACCATCCGAAAAAATTGAAAAGGCTTCCCACAAAGTTTAGTGACCACAAGGCTACAAAGGGGGAATCAGCAAGTCTGAGGAATGAGTAGCTGTTGGCTGCGAAGTGGAGGGATAAGAGAGATCTGTATGTTCTATCCACCATTCACAATGACACCTCGGTAGAAATTCACAGAAGTCGCGTTTCCATCCAAAAGCCTGACTGTATCCATGATTACAATCGATTTATAGGGGGGGGGATTTAAACGATCAGATGCTACAGCCCTATTTATCAGCAAGAAAGTCCCTCTTCTAGTATAAAAAAGTTGTTACTTCTTCCATTTAGCCATTTATAATGAATATGTCACCTATCAAAAGTCAACAGAAAAAACCACCACCTTCCTCAAATTTATAGAAGATATCATTACTGCCCTGATCTGCCAGCACGGATCTTCACCAGAAAGCATTTGCTCTGATTGTGTGAGCAGACTTCATGAGCGCCATTTCTCTGAAATCATTCCATCAACAGGAACAGGAAGAAGACGGCAAAAAAATGTAGGGTATGCAGCAGAGGGGGAGTTAGGAGAGACATCAGTTTTCATTGTCCCCAATATCCTTCCCAACCAGGCCTATGCATCGGAGGCTGCTTCTGACGTTATCACACATCCCTAAAATTTTTGTTTCCCTCTGATATTTCCCCATTTCTAATTTCTGTGCTGATCATTTGCCTGCTGCCTTCATTGACCATGCCTCTGCTTTCCATGTTAAGTGACCCTGGCCTGTTTACCTACTATGCCTCTGTTTGCTGTCTGGATTGTTTCTGAACCACATTTCTGCCTTCCACCTGAACTGACCCCGCCTGTTTATTGGCAATGTCTCTGTCTGCTGTCTGGATTATTTTTTTCAACCATGTTGCTGCCTTTCATCTGCACAGACCTTGGCTGTTAATAGACCATGTTTTTTGCCTGTCAATGGACTGATGTTTTGCCCTGCTACTGTAGTATAGTGGGATTCAAGATAATACAGCGTTCTTACATATGTGAGAGGCTTCAGAGTAGTAGTGTTCTGAGTACAGAAAACCAGCATTTGGTTTTCTCTGGGTTTTTTCTCGATCAGGGTCTGAGGCTTTGAAGAAATGGGTGGGAGGAAGCCTCTACCACTGTGCCCAGGTCTTGCCTGGCCAAGGCCATAAGCCTAATGTTTCTGCCTGCTGCCTGCACCAATACTTTGGATGTGCTGACTATATCTCTGCCTGCTGCCTTTAATGACCCAGGACTTTTTATGGACCATGTTCCTGCCTGCTGCCTGGACCAATACTTTAGCTGTGCTGACCATATCTCAACCTGCTCCCTGAATGATTCTTTTGGCTGTTACTGATCACATCTATGCCTGCTTCCTGGACCAATGCGGACAACTGCTCTGTTATAATTATAGATAAACTTTTGTTTACCCTTTGCTTAGCTAGACTGTGAAAAAGCCTCACACATGTGGTATCATCATACTCAGGAGTGTCAGAATGTATTTTGGGGTGTAATTCTTGCTATGTTCATGATGTGTTTTAGAAATATCTTATAAATTGACAACTTTGTGTAAAAAAAAATAATTTTTCATTTTTTTCCACATTTTCAAAAGACAATCATGCCTCATACAATATACGTTGGGGGTTTTCTTTCCAATATGGGGTCATTTTGTGGGTGTATCCACCGTCCTGGTGCTCCAGGGTCTTCAGAAATGTGATAGGTAGTCAGTAAATTAAATGTGTAATTTATACCCCTAGAACGCCTGAAGGTGTTATTTGGATGTTGGGCCTCTGAATGTGGCCAAGAAAAAATCTCACAAATTCCATACTCAAGATGAGTAGCAAAATGTGTTTTGGGGTGTAATTGCAAGTTTGCTTATGCTGTATGCAAGAAATAACTTGTTAATATGACAAGTGTGTTAAAATAAATGTGTTATGTGTTAAAAAAAAAATAAAGGGGTAATTTGGGGGAGATTTGTACTGTCTTGACATTTCTGGGAATTAAAGCAGAGCTCCACCCAAAAGGGGAAGTTCCGCTTTTAAGACTGATCCCCTGCTCCTCATTAAAGATTGGCACCTTTAGGGCAGGGGGGGAGCGGGTACACAAAATTGACAGGTACCCACTCCCATTTCTGCTGCGATCACCTAGGCGATTGGAAGCAGAAGCTGTCCTCATACCATCCCTCCCTGTTGTCTTCTGGGACTCGTGACAGGTCCCTGAAGACTACAGGGCCATTCAGGAAGCGCAGCGCTACTCGCGCATGCACAGTGGGCACCCGGTTGTGAAGCCGCAAGCTGTCACAGCCGGGTGCCCACACTGAAGATGCCAGCTTCTGGAACACCAGACGGCTGGTGAAACAGGCTGCGGAGAGGACACCGTGGGATCGTAGGACATGTGAGTGGCTGTTTTAAACAAGTCAGTAACTACAGTTTTTGTAGCTGCTGTCTTTTATTTTTTTACAGTGTGACTGGAACTCTGCTTTAAGAAATGAGATAGTCAGTACATCTGGATAGATCAATTTTCAATGATACATAGCATAACTTGTAGGCTCTATATCTTTCACACAAACTAAATAATATACACATTTTTGTTATTTTTACTAAAGATATGTAGCAGTGTTAATTTTAGCCTAAATCTATGAAGAAAAATGACTTATGTGCAAAATTGTATAATAGAAACTAAAAAAGTGTTTGCT